TGGGCAACTTGGCAAGACCCCGTCTCAACATAAAAAATAAAAAGGCTGGGGATGTGGCTCAGAGCAGCACAGAGCACCCAAGTTCAATCCCACTACTTGGAAAAAAAATTTAAAAGCCTGTAGGCTGACCATGCTTGGAAGAGGTTGTCCCACCTCACGGGAAGGCCTAAGGTCAGACGACAGCTGCCCCACTGCACAGGTGCAAGTGCTGTGGACAGAGCCCGTGTGAGGACAGCACAGCCCCCAGGACAGGGAGAGCTGCGGCCTCCGCCTCTGCGTACTGCTCAGCCGCTGGCAGAAAAGCGCAAAGTCAGGAAACAATACCTACAAAGTCCTTGTGAGAACACTGGGCAATTCCCAAACTAATAAAAATGTATTGTAATAACTACGTGAAAACCAAACTGACGCAGGAAAATAACAGATACAAGCGATAACCACTGGGAGCACTTCCATCTGTGGGAACGGCATAAACTGCACGTGACTTCTCTTCCCAGGGCTCTGATTTATTCACACCCTCACAGCAGCTGGGTTTCACTTCCCATTGATAAGTAGGACTTTTCACAAAGCACTCTCACAACTGCCTCCAGGAGAGGGGACTCACCCGCCTTCACTCTCGGCGTCTGTGAACGCGGCTCCGGACGAGGCGGTGAAGTAGACAGAGCTGGAGCCGGCGGAGTCGCTCCTCTCCCGGGCAAACGGGAACCTTCGCCGCCGAGCCACTCGCTGGCTCTCTTCCAAGTGGGATCTGGAAAGCAGATCCCATCGCACAGGAACCGTTAGGCCTCATCCAGCCAGGTCTTTTCCCTCACTACTCCTCCTGGTTCGAAAGCCACTAGCAGAAAAGACCCCGGGGGTCCACCCTCAGAACAGTGAGGAAAGCCGCCCGGCGCAGCTGTGCAGCACGGAGTAGAGCATTTCAGCTGCAAGGCGGCAAGGAAATTGCGTCCAGCCCCGAGCCAGGTGTATAGCTCCCCACCCCCACCGGCAATTAGGTCAGAAGCGGAAAACCTGGCTTCCTAGAGACCGAAAGTGCGGCCAGAATACCCCACAGGTAAAGGCTGAGGAGCTAGAGAATAGAAGGATGCGGGACAAAGCAGGAGCGGGGCTGCTTACTCACCGCACCTCCCCCACGATCTCCCCAGCAAGTCCCTGCAGGCTGTTCCTCAGCTCCTCCACCTCCCGCCGCAGAGCCACAAGACTGCTCAGCACGAAGTCCAGGCGGTCCAGCACCTTCTCCTGCCCTGCCTGCGGGAGGCTGGACAGCACCGCCGCATCTCCTGCCTCGCCTGGGACCCGAAACAGCGTCACTGCAGGAAGGAAGGAGACAGGGCGCCCGTGGGCGAGCATGAGAAAAGGTCTCACTGGAGTCCCAGGACACTTGCTTCTCACTGGAGTCCAACTTATGAAGACGACCTTGAAGCTCAGATAGCACATGCTCACAGCAAGTCATGGTGATAAGTCCCAGGAGCTCCCCAGAGAAAACTAAGGTCCCAATCTCTAAGCAAGAGCCCTCTGCTCTTCCACACCAGGGCTCTTCAGGACTGCTGTTCACGGCAGATAAAGTAAACTGCTTGCAAGGCTGCAGCACCTACAAGACAGGACGGCTGCTACAGTAAAAGAAAAACCTGCACCTGACCTCAATGCCCAGTGTGGGGAGTCAACACCAACTGCAGAGCAAAACTCAACTCGCTCCGCTCTCTCACTTCACAAATAATAAAGAAAACTCCACTCCTCTTGAGAACTTCATTTAGTATTCTCGAGGGGGTAAAGAGAGAAGGGGCAGTTACCAAGAATGGGCACACTGGAAAAAACCCATCCAAAGTGCCGGGAAAACGCCACTACCAAGCCCCACCAACCCAACCCCGGGCTGAGCTCCAGGTGAATGCCAGCAGTGACATGCTAGTAGTGTGAGAGACTGGAGGCAACTAGACTAGAAAATGGAAAAACAGGAAAGAAAGCAGGAAGCCAGGATCCACAGAACAGGCAGGCACAAATCCCTTGTTAGAGGGAATCTAGGCCGACTGCAGTACATATCTCGAAGTGTTCGCAAATGTAGAACAAAAGTGAGCCTTGGGAATGTGGCCGCTTTGTCCTGACCTCAGTACAAGGCGTCAGGCGACTGCTAAGAAATTACAAAACAAATGAACAAAAGGGAGGGAAGGTACATGTACCAATTCCCCACAAGGAACGTAAACATTATGTACTACAAACATGTACTAATAAAAAAAGACATTAAAAAAAGAAAGCGCATGAACACATTATCCAATGCTAACCATTAGCTACAGTCTCGCAGGACTCTTCCACAGCTAAGTTTTCCAAACTATCTGACAATGGTAGAGAAAATATTAACTTCCAATTGTTACGAGGTGAGACATTCTAAATGATCCTCCAGCAAACAAAAAAATGGGAGCAGCTTGCTTTAAGTGAGGTAACATCAAGATTTTGCGGAAACAATACACAACTCATTTCAGCTGTGGCTGCTGGCTGCCAGCCATTCAGCTCAAGTGGCATGAGTGCTCACAGCCATGCGGTGGGAAGTACCTGGGCCAGGTGACCAGGCCCACCTTGCCACTTACACTGTGACAACCTCAGGAAATTTACACTCTTCCTTAATATTCCTTCAGAAGAGGGATAGTAGGCTTGGATTAGTCTCCAAGTTCTCTTCAAATTTTCATATGTAATTTAACATATAAACCTCAAGACTTTTAACTCCTACAAGAATTTTTTTTCCCTTCTTTTGGACTGTTCCTCCCACTACAGCCTTTACTCAACTCTAGGCAAGTGGCTTTAATGCACACATAGCATTACTGCGGTCGGAATCAAAAGTGAAAGCTGAACAGTTTTCCCCAATATACTGCACTTTCTGGGGATTATAGAGAAAAAGAGTACAGAAAATGAAAAGGTCTTTCTTTTCAGTAAATTTTCCAAAGAAAGCCACCCTGTCCCACAGGGTCGGCCAAAGGCTGCCCGACCCCCGGCCCATCAATCAGCCCCGTACCCTGGCGTCCGGGCCCTGAAGTCTGCTCGTAGTCCAAGAAACCAGGCAGGCTCTGGCTGCGGTCACGGCGCTGGGTCCGTCTCCATCGCTGGCTGTAGAGCACGCACAGGAACCCCAGGCCGGCAGCGGTGCCCAGCAGCAGCCCCAGCCCAGCGCGGGCGCCGCCCAGGGCCCCCAATCTAGACATGATGCACCTGCAGCCGCGGAGCCGGGGGGACGCGTGAGCCCGGGGCACCCACGCCGGGCACCGCCCCTTACCACACCCCGAGCTCCCACGACTCCTACCCCAATCCGGACCCTCAGGTTCTGCCAGCCCCTGGCCCCGACCACCGCGCCTTTCCCTAAGCCTGCTCCCACACACCCCCGACCTGAGCAAAGCCTGCTCCCGAATCTTCCCCACGTTTGGCCTCACCAAGCTGCAGACAACAAACTCGCCGTCCCGGCTGCAGAGTCCTCGTTCCTCACGCCCGGACCCCGAAGCTGCCCTTGCCCGGCAGCAGGTCAACGCCGACCCTTACCCAGCCGCCGGCCACCATGGCAGCAGAACCGCCGCTGCCCCACGCTGTCAATGACCGTGACGTCAATTAAACTGCGCCACCCGCCCCGCTCAGGCTGGAGGGCGCGGCGAGATGACCTCACGTGGCCCCGCCTCCGTTCAGGGCACCGCCTAGGGGCGGAGTCAACAGAGGGCGGGAAAGGAACCTGGCGTCCCGGAAGCGCGAAAGACCAGAGTCCGGGAGGTTTGCAGTTAACTCTACTGTCCTGCCGGCCGGCCGCCGGTGGTTGTTTCCCTTCAGGCACACCAGTCATCTGTCTGCTCAGCGTCGCTCTTGCCTTCCCCCTCGCTTCCGCCGGGAGACAGCGCTTCTCTCCCGAACAGCCCGCTCCCGACTTTTTCTAACACTGGCTCAGCTCATACTTCATTTTGGTTTAAGTTAACAGCGTCAGGATCTTCCACACAAACTACTCGGTGACCCCAGTAGCAGCGCCTTCGGCAGATCAATGAAAACAGATACATGGTTATCCACAAAATTCCCTGCAGCTGGTTGCCGCCGCTGACTCAGCTCGGTCGCAGGGCTGGGGTATAGCTCGGGGAGGGGTGCACGGAGCTTTGGGTGGCACCCCACCAGCCTTCCCCCCAAACACCGCTCTGACTGTAGATACACACAGAACCAAAAAGTCTTTCAGCTGGGTTCGGAGAAGAACCCCTGTAATCCTAGCTACTCGAAAGGCTGAGACAGGAAAAATTACAAACCAGCCTAGGCTATTTAGCAAACCTTGTCTTAAAGTAAAATTAAAAGGGTTGGCAGTGTAGCTCACTGTAGAGCACTTTCCTAGCACGAGGAAGGCCCTGGCTTCAATCATTAGAACTGGAAAAAGGGAAAAAAAGCGTCAGACGTGGTGGCGCACACCTGTAATACCAACACTCCAGAGGCTGAGGCAGGAGGCCAGCCTGGATTACACAGTTAAAGGCCAGTTTGAACTACATGGTGAGACCCTGTCTCAAAAAATATATATATATTTTTAGCTTATAATCATATTATATCCCATAAATATATTCAATTATTATGTCAATTTTTAAAAATTCCTAATACATGTGCAAACAAAAAATTGGGAAACAGACCGGAAATTGTTTGCATTTCAGCTTCCACTTCCTGATTGATGGAGGGGTGCTTGCTGTACGCATCCCATTTGCCTGTTGAAAGGTTGGAAAACAGCTTCCACCTGGAGACCGGGAGCAGACTCAGGCTCCACTGCACCTGCCTGCGGGGCATCACTTTACCCCCCAGCAGGTTAGCTTGATTTTTTTCTTTTTACTTTGAGGCTTTAAAGTAGTTTCAGTAATAAAATTTAAAATGTTTCATAATTATGTTTTATGTAACAGATTACAACTTATTTAAATGACTATATGTAATGTAACTTTTTTCTTTAAATCATATCAAACTTTCTTGATTTGCCAGAAAAAAAATATTGGGGCAGGGGAGTCCTAGTAATGACAATGGAAATACCTAGACCAGTCCTCCCAAGATCCTTGACTAAGCCCTATATTTATCTTTTCATTGTGAGCTATTTTACACACATAATACACTTATTTATAACTTTGAGAAGAACAAAAGTGCCGAGGTACCCACCCTACAGTCTAAGGAATATAACTTCAATAACCTCTAAATTTAATTTTAAAAGTAAATTGAATGTGAATCCTTTGAGAAACATAAGGCATTAATTATGATTGTTTTGGTGATGAGAAAAGTGTTTTGTACTGTTTTTTTTTGTTTTTTTTTTTTTGTTTGTTTGTTTTTGTTTTTTTTTTTGTACTGTTGAATCAGTGTTTTGCTATGCTGCCCAGGATGGCCTCAAACTTTCACTCTTCCTGCCTCAGCCTCCTGGGTCTCTGGGATTACAGGCATGCACCACCACACCAAGCTATGAAAAATCTTTTAATATGCTTTCCTCATATTTTTCTCATTTTTGTGTAATAAGCATGTGTCGCTTCTGCAATAAGAAAACAGAGTAACTTTATTTTCAAGGAAACAAAACTCATTTCCTCTGGGAAACCTTCCCAGGCCTCCCACCTCGTCGGAATTTATCTCTGTCTTCGCTCCTGAGGCTCCGTTACCTCCGTGACGGGGTGATAGTTTGCTTTGTAATCTGTCTGTGCTCACTCTGTCAGGTGAGGTCCACGCCAGCTTCATCGCCCCTGTCCTCGGTGCCTAGCGCAGCCCCGACAGGAGCCCTCCGTAAACCCAGGAAGGCAGGTGCTTTGGGGGTGCAGAGAGGATGGAGGAGGCGCTCTGCCGCAGGACGGTTTCCTCTGTCGGCTGGGGAGCAGCTCTGTGATGACCTCTGTGATGGTGCGGAGAGGCGCCGGCAGCTGGGCAGCCCAGGCGGAAATTTATTTCCCCGGATATTAAAGATGCTATCTGGCCCGCGAGGCAGTCAGCGGTGCGGTGGGCTGTTCGAATGGAGCGCTTTATCTCGCGGCACCACTGTTTTCCCAAATTCAAAGCTGCGCTGCCTCTGAGCGACGCCTGCCCTCGCGTCTCCTTCCTCCCCCTCTGTGTCCCTGTCTGAGACGTGAGCAGAGCAGACCCCAGACCCCCGGGCCCAAGGCGGGGGAGGGGTGTCTTTCTTCTTGCACCCACTTCGAAGGTTTGTATGATTTTTTTTTTTTAAAAATTACTCCTTAGGGGCTGGGGATTTAGCTCAGCAGCACAGCTCCTGCTTGGCAAGCGTGAGGTCGTGAATTCCATTCCCAGTACGGGGGAGAGAGGGGGTATTACTTCTTAAATTTGTTCATTTTTTCCCCAGATGTAGGAATTAAACCCAGGACTTTGCACACACTGTAAACAAGTGCTCCACCACTGAGTGACATCCCTAGGCTTTTTTTTTTTTTTTTTTTTAAGATAAGGTCTCTCTGTGTAGCCTAGGCTGGCCTTGAACTTTTGATCCTCCTACCTCAACCTCCCAAATAGCTGGCATTATAGGTCTGCCACCACACCTGGTTAAAAATTGTTCTTATTAAATGATTTGCGGGGGCTGGGGATTTAGCTCAGCGGCACAGCGCCTGCCTGGCAAGCACAAGGTCGTGAGTTTGATTCCCGGTAATGGAAAAAATAATAATAATTTGTGGCTACAAAAATATTAATAACATATGTATAAAAAACGATAAAGAGTACATAAAAAGATGAAGAGTACATTTATAGCCAGGCATGGTGACACATATGTGTAATCTCCAGTTGAAGGCTAGGCTGGGCTATACAGTGAGTTCCAGGCCAGTGAGACCCTGTCTCAAAAACAACCTAGCTGGGGGTGTGGCGCACACCTGTAATCCCAGCACTTGGGAGGCTGAGACAGGAGGATTGTTGCACATTTGAGACCAGCCTGGGCTACAAAGTGAGCTCAAGACCAGCCTGAACTGCATAGCAAGACCCTGTCTCAAAAAGATTTAAAAAAAAAATATATATATATATATATATATAACTTGCCCTGGCTGGACTCAACCATAAGACTATCCTGCCTTAGCCTTCCCCAGTGCTGGGGTTGTAGGAGTTCTACTTTTCTTTATAATTTCATCACATAGATTTCTTTTCAAATAAAAGGCACATGATGGTGGTAGCAACACCGAAAGGACTTTTCAAACTGAAGTTGAGAAGTCATTAAGGGAACAGAACTGCTACCTACAAAGGTGAGTCGGTCACCACCACCCCTTGGCTGCCTCTGGAATGACCAGATAATGACAGTGTGCTCAGAACCTGGAGATGCGTATCAGGAGGTGATGGGGCTCTTGTTTACAGACCTTTCCACTTGGCTGGTCCGTGATTTTCTTTATCTTCTACTGGCCACGCAGCCCACACCACGTAGCTCTTGCATTCTTTTCCAACTTCAATACAAATTTCTCTCCAAACAATTTTAATTTTTGCTACAGATTGGATGAGTGTCTCTCAAAGGCCATGTGTCACAGCCAGGGTGGCTCAGTGGGGGAGTATGAGTCCTTTAGGAGGGGCCTAGCAGGAGGTTCTCAGGTCCCTGGGGGCAAGACCCCAAAGGGGATTGTGGGAGCCCTATCTCTTGTCTCTGCTTCTGGCTCCTGAAGGGAGCAGTGTGCCCCCCACGATCTCCTGCATGATATGCTGCCCTCATGGAGGCCCAGAGCAAGGGCACCACCCAGTCTTGGATTAGAATCTCCATAACAAGCCTTTCTCTTTATAAGGTAACAGTCTTGGATACTTCACTACAGTACTGTGAAGCTGACTAATGCAATTAACTTGTGATGACTTAAGAGCTTTTTGTCAGTATAAGCTCCACTTGCCCTACCTCCTTCAGAACACTGAGCTGTCTGAACCTGTGTCTCCCAACTAGTAATTCCCAAAATGCCCCCAAAGTTCTCTTACACTTACGGTTTCAAAAGATTTACAATTTTGAATCTTTTTGACAGTTTTTAAATCACCAAATAATATTTTGTTATTGTTTTGAGACAGGATCTCACTATGTAGTCCATGTAGTTCAGGCTGACCTTGAATTCCCTGTATAGCTCAGGCTGGCCTCGAACCTGCAGTGATCCTCCTGCTGTTACCACGGTTCTGGGGTGCTTTGGGCCCCTTCTAGAGATTCTTTTCAGGTTCTTGTTGTCCTGTAGAAAGAATTGGACAGGACAGGTGCAAAAGGCAGCAAAGTTTTACATTTATTAAAGGTAGGAAAAGAAATATGCTCTACAGAGTGAGTATAGGAGGGCCAGTGATATAGCTCAGCAGCACACATGCCTACCTGGCAAGCATAAGGTCCTGAGTTCAATTCCTGGTTACCCCCCACCCCAAAAAGACATCCAGAGTAAGTGTGGGCCAACTAAAGGTAGGGAAAGAAGCACACACTGCAGTGAGACTGGACCACTAAAAACCCTCCTACTGGCCATGGTCACTGCCTTTGTGTCCCCTACTCCTCAGGCTGACTGGGACCTAGGCCTTCCTATCAAAAACCTGCTTGGGGCTGGGGATTTAGCTCAGAGGCACAGCGCCCCCCTGGCAAACGAAAGGTTGTGAGTTCAATTTCTGGTACTGGAAGAAAAACAAAACAAACAAGCAAACAAAAACCTGCTTGATTTCCACCAGAATTGAAGAGAGCACTTTCTGATTGATCCCAGGTGTGGGGCTTGGGAACTCTTTTTCCATGCATGTGTCCTGGATCTCTGAGCCTGACAGGTCACATCCACTTGCCCTAATCTCCTGCCTTACAGCCTCAACCTCCCCAGTGCTGGGACTACAGGTATGTGCAGAAAGATTTGTTTTTTCACTCATTCCAGTGCTATAAAGTTTCCATTGTATGAATCTACCAATAATATTTTTTTTCTTTTTTTCTCTCTCTTTTTTAGAGACAGGGTCTTGCTATGTTGCCCAGACTAGTCTCAAACTCCTAAGCACAAGTCACCCTCCTGCCTCAGCATCCTGAGAAGGTAGTACTACAGGCATGCACCACTATGCCCTGCTACCAAAAACTTTTACTCTAGTCTCTCTTTTTTTTTTTTTTGAGACAGGGTTTTACTATGCAGTTCAGGCTGGCCTCGAACTCAAAGAATTCTCCTGCCTCAGCCTCCCCAGTGCTGGGATTACATACAAGTGTGCTCCACCACACCTGGCTTAATCTAGTGTGCTTCTGATGAATATAGGGGCTGTTTCCAGACTTTTGCCAACTATAGTGCTGCCTGCCCCCTGAGAATGAGTTTTCCTGGGGCTCATCTATGAGAGGTTCAGCTTTAGCACAGGGATCCCTGTTGGTTGTATTAGGTACACCAACTTGCAAACCTAACAGTGATGTCTCAATTATTAGGCATTATCAACACTTGATTTTTTTTTTTTTCCCTTTTGGACAGGGAGCCCCCAGGTTGGTCTTCAACTCCTGGGCTCAAGTGATCCTCATGCCTCCTCCTTCTGAATGCTTACACACACTACAGGTGCAAACCTCCACCTGGCAATATTTATAATTTTTAAAAAACTGTTTTGGTGCTAAGGACTGAACCCAGGGCCTCATCTCGTCTAGGCAAGCCCTGTACTACTGAGCTAAATCCCCCACCCCAACATCCACAAATTTTAAATCTTTTCATCTTTTTGTTAATCTGTACAGCAGCATTGCAGCGTCATTTAAAATGTAGCCGAATTTTCCTTTCCAGGATTTCTAGTGCTGCCGGGGTTCTTTTGTGTAGTGCTAGGACCATCGTTTGTCTATAGTTTTTCTACACTACTGGTTTATCTTTTCCTCACTGATGTATTTGCATTCTTCACAGACATGAATCTTTTGTCGTTTTCACAAGTTCCTTGTTGAGCGTGAATGAGCCTTTTCCCGCCCACTCAATTGTTAGTCCAGGTTACAGGTGGGAAGCACAGAGGTCCCTTTGGACCAGGCCTTTTACTGCCTTTGCAGCTCTCCCAGGTCTGTCCCGGGGTTGGATGGCCTGTGAATACCCGAGGCAAGTGCAAACATTTCCAGGGTCTTCGGGGTGAGGTTATGGAGTGTTTTCAGTTTTATTTTGCTTTTTAGGGAACCACTCCTCCTAAGGCAGATAAGGAATGTTGAACTGTCAGATTTTGCTGCAGCCAGATGAGGATGGGGACGCCTGCCGCGAACTCGCCGCCCTCTCTGGTAGCTGGTGCGGAGGAAGCTGCTCACCTGCCCCAGGCGTGGCCTTGTGACCTCCTGCGAGTGCTCCTCCCACGGGGCCCGGATTCCACCCGTGGAGTCAGTGCACCCCGGCTCGGAGCCGCGCGGCTCCCGCAGTTGCTGTAGCGCCACTGAAACACGAGGTCCCGCCGCTGCGCTGGGAATTAGTCCCTGGGGGGCTGCGCTGTGCGCCAGGAGGGAATTTCAGCCTCAGCATTCAGGGGAGGCCACAAACTTCCTGCCCCAGCTCCCTGGGAGCTTAAAGAATCTCCTGGAAAGGTGTTCTGGCGAGGGGAAGTTGTGGGTGCGCTAAAGATGTTGCCTGTTGCCGTGTCTCTGGGCAGGTGGCTGCTGGCCTAGAGCATAGTTTGCTCTCCGCTCAGGCCGCAAGGGGGACTAGGAGGGATCAGCAGGACTTGAAGGTGCTGCAGGAAGGGGGCGCAGGGTCAGCACGCGTCCAGTCCCTTGGGACATCCTTGCCCCACACACCCAGCCCCTGTCACACCACTGCTCCGCCGCACAGAGACCGCAAGTGACCTGGGGCCAAGTCCACCTGGAGAAGCGCAGGGCGGGCGGAGCCTGGAGCGTCACGGCGCCCGCGTCTGATTGGCCAGCCGCGGGGGCGGCAGGGGGCGGGGGCGGCGCCGCGGAGCAGAGCGGGGTAACGGGACGCGCACCGCACCGCAGGTCCCAACCGCGCGCTGTCCGGCGGAGCCCAGAGCCGAGCCCGGAGCCGGGCGGGACGCGAGCCATGCCCTACCTGCTCATCAGCACCCAGATCCGCATGGTGAGCACCCGCCCGACGCCACGAGGGCCCCGGGGGTCGAGGGCGCTCCAGGCGGCGCTGGGTGGCCCGGGGCGACATGGCCCGCGCAGGGAGGCACCTGGGGGGGCTGGGACGAGGAGGGACCTGTCCCACGACGCCCGGCGCTGGGAAGCCCTGGCGTCGCACGTGCTGCACAGTGCCCTCCGGGAGCCGCTCCGCGGACGCGAAGGGCATCGGAGGTACGGGAAGGGAAAGGAGCGGCGAAGGCACTGGACGCCCCGTGCCACGTCCCGGCCGCTTGCAGCCGCTGGGGCGCCCTGAGGCCCTTCCAGCGAGGGTTCACCCCGACATCAGCCAGGAGCCCAGATCTCGGCCTTTTCTTTAGAAAATGAAGGTGCTGGGTGACTGCCCCCCCTGGAGCATTAGGGTACTCCTCCCCACTTCCTAACGCTAAGGTGACCAGCAGAGGGTACCCAGCTCCCTTGGGATGAAGCAAATCGCAGGTGGGTGGGTTCGTCATGAGAGGAGCGGTCTGGGACCTGTAATCTGCACCTGTCCAGTAGCTGAAATACAGGTTCCTGGACCCCTTGCCAGCACACACTCTCTCTCAACTTGGAAATGCATATTTAGAAATGTCTTCCTTTAATGATTCTTTTTTTTTTTTAATTATAGTTTACTGCCAAAATTAGATTCCAAAGAATTCACTCGCTTAAAGTGTAGAAGTCAACTTTTTTTCATATTCAGAGTTGTACAAACATAATTCTAGAACGTTTCTAACACCTCCAAAGGAACCTTGCACCCGCTACATTCACGTATTTCCCCGAGCCCGTGGTGACCGCTGATCTCCGTGCTGACCTTCCATGGTCTCCCGTGTCTGGCTTCTCTTCCTTCCGTGTTCCTGGGCTCCATCCACATTGCAGCAGGGATTGGTGCTCACGCCTTTATTGCCACTTAGGGTATGCACTCTATGTCCCCAGTCATCAGATAACAAACTTTTTTTTTTTTTTTTTTTTTGGTTTTTCTCCGGTACCGGGAACCGAACTCACGACCTTGCACTTGCCAGGCAGGCGCTTTGCCGCTGAGCCTAAATCCCCAGCCCTCAGATAACAAACTTTTGTTTCCACCTTTTTGGCTACTACAAATAAGGCTGCTAAATAATGTGCGTACAAGTTTTGGGTTTTCCTTTTTTCTCTTTTTGGTAACTTAAGTTCACTTGCCGGGCACAAGCTGTTATGTGAACATTGTGCCCACATCTTTTGTTCTCCAGGTGACCTCAATACACACAGACATGGGGTGGTGCCTGTTTGAGGGTGCCAAGCATCATCCCGTAGAGCCCACCTCTGCCTGGAGGGGTCAGGCAGGCCCACACTGCTAGGCTCAGCATTGATGGGCCGCAGCCTCCATGGCCCCTCACTTCTGCCTTCAGCCCTCACCTGGTTTGCCCAGGGCCAGGAGTCAGCTGAGGCAGCGCAGTGAGATCTTCCAGGACCCTGGCAGCCAAGCAGGCAGCCACTTGGCTTACCTTGCAGGAGGTGGGCCCCACCATGGTGGGCGACGAGCACTCGGATCCGGAGCTGATGCAGCATCTGGGGGCCTCCAAGAGAAGTGTCCTGGGGAACAACTTGTAAGTAGGGGTGCCCCTCAGCACCTTCTCCCTGGGAGCTGCTCGTCCTGCCCGGGCCTTGTACACCACCCAGCCCGGGCCCTGCCACCTTCACCTGGGGCGCAGGACTCTGTAGCAGCCGGTCCCATCCGCAGCTTCCCCTCCCCAGTCAGAAAGCCCCCACTGGCTTAGGAGCCCATCCTGGCGGGAGGACTGTCTGGTCTAGGGCTGTAGGGCTCCATAGGCGGGTTGTTGCTTGTCCCACCCTCTCAGCTCTAGAAACAGCAGGATGCTTGGGTCCTGCTTCCAGCTCTGCTGCAGCACACGGCCTTTACCCCATCTCCACATCAGAACTGAGACCCCCGCTTCCTTTTCTGCCCATACCCTTCCTTCAGCGTGGGGGTTGGGGAGCCTGGCCGCACAGATTCTGGAATCGTGAGAAGAGCTGCCAGAGTGGGTTTCAATTCAAAGATCCATGCCCAGCCCCTTGGCAAGGGCTGGGGATCAGAAGCCAGCACTACCCCTTTGCCATGAGGTGTCCCCCCCACCTGTTTCACAGCCCTGCAGCACCAAGCATCATCCATGCCAGAGCGGGGGCAGCCTCGTGGTTCCAGGACTGCAGGACAGTGGGGCAGCCAGAGGGGCCCAGATGCCAGGATGAGGAGAGCTCCTCCCGAGCAGGGGAGGGAGGACGGGACGGGCTCCAGACTACCACAGGGTTACCTGGTAACACACCTGGTAAGCAGCTCAAGCCTCTCTACACAGAGTACATGGCAATAATAAGGTATATTTGTTAGACTTAGGAGGAAAAAATGAACTAGCGCATGTGCAGTGCTAGACAAGAGAGGTCTGTGAATGCACTTAGCCTGCCATCCAGGAAGCACCTGGCAAGTGCCACTCGATGGAGCTCTTGACCAGCCTGGCCCCCAGCTTTGCATGGGGCTTGCTCTGTGTTCTCACACGTCGCCTGCCACCCCGGTCTCTTTGCAGCTATGAATATTATGTCAACGACCCTCCTCGCATAGTCTTGGACAAGCTGGAACGCAGGGGCTTCCGAGTGCTGAGCATGACAGGGGTGGGCCAGACCCTGGTGTGGTGCCTGCACAAGGAGTGACCTTCTCACACTGACTTGCAGATGAGACACTGCTGCACTGACTGCCTGCTCACTCTTCCCAGGTCGTCACCTTCTCCAGCCGAGCATGGATGGGCAGGACTGGCCTTGCGGGGGGCTGGGGGGGGGGCTGGCCCAGGCGTTACATCACCCCAGCTGCAGGCGTCCATCCGGAGCACACAGTCCAGAGGGCAGCCCAGGAGGGGCGGGCAGGTGCTGCGTGGCCTGTCCACGCCAATAAAGGCCTCTGATGAGTGGTTGCTCCTCTGCTCTGTCTGGCAGTGACTCATGACTCAAATTGCTGGGGGTCTGCCCCGCCCAGAGAGAGCCCAGTGCCTCAGCACCGGACAGTGGTAGACTTTTAAAAAAAAAAGTTTATTGGAACTGGTTAAGAAAAAGGCTGTGGAGTGGGAGGGAGGGAGTTCGAGGCTATGTGGGCTGCCCCTCGTCCTCCTGCTGCATCTGGGCGATCAGCTGTTGGCGCTCGGCTGCCTGGCGCATGCGCATCATGACGAGGCTCTCATAGTCCCTCTCCGACCGCACTGAGCCCTGGGAGACAGAAGGGAAAGGGAGGTGTCAGAGGAGTCAGGGGATTCAGAGGATGGGGCTCGGCAGAGCTGCAGGCCGAGAGTCCTGGAGGGAGGAAGACAGAGGCAAGGAGGGACCCAGAAACACCCTTCCGGAGCCCCGACTCACTCGTGCGCTCTCAGCAACAGCAGGCCTTGCTCCCACACCGGCCTCTGCTGCCCTCAGCCCTCTCGACGGCTGCTCCCACCCCGCACTGCTACATCCAGTCATCCCTGGTTCCTCTCTGTCCGACAAATACTTCCTCGTGGCTGGCCAGGCCCTGTCTGCTCTCTCCCCTCTCAGCCATCACCTGACACTCCCCGTCCCGACCCACATCTGCCTGGCACGGGCTTCCCCTGGGAGCAGCTCTGCCGGGCACAGACCAGAGCACTGTGCCCTCCCCACTGCCCAGCTGCCTGTGCTCTGCGGGTCTGGTCTGAGGACACAGGCCGGAGCCCTGCATGCGGCACAGCCTCCAACTCGTTCTACATGGCACGAGAGCAAGCGGGAGGCCACCTTGGCTCTAAACGTCCACGGCAGCTCCCAGGGGGCAGGGCCCGCGGTTTCTCTTATGATCTTGCCAGAACAGTGTGGGGTGAAAGAGAGCTATATTTTAATAATCAAAAGAATGAATAATAAGCAGCTCAGTGGGCCAGTGCTGTGGGGTGGAGAAGCAGCTCTGTGGCAGAGCCCTGAGCCGCCAACCCCACACCCTCATGAGGTCTGCAGTAGGAGTCAGATCTGTCCTCCCTTGCTGGGAGACCACTGTGGGGTCCACCTGCTGCACAGAGACACGTGCAGCACATGTGCAGTGCAGAGGCGGTGGCCTGTCTAGTGCGGAGCTACGCACCGTGTGGGACAAGCCAGGAGGAAAGCTGGATGGTCGGTAACCCGGGGAATAAGAGGGGAGTGGCTGGAGTTAAGCTGCCGGGCCCTGGCCAACTGGTTCAGAGCAAGGGGCACAGAGAAACAGGAAGTGCTACTCAGCCCTGCCCAGCCCGGCCCCTCCCACAGCTCTGGCTGCCTTCTCCCGGCCAGACCTCTAGGACACCAGCAATCCATGGCAGCACCCCCTGGCCCTGCCCCTCCGTAGAAGAGGGGCCAAAGGAGACCCCGCTGCGGAGGGCAAGGAGAGCACGGTGAGGTGGGAGCCACAGGCCTGGCCCTCCGCTGCCCTCCTCCCAGGAGGCCCTCAGGGTAAAGAGGGCGGAGGAGGAAACTGAGCAGCCGGACTGGCTGTCAGGCTGTGGGGAGGGCAGCGCTCCCTTCCCCACGTTACTGCTGGAGTCACCCTTGGCATGGCCTGGCCCACCCCTGGGAGGTGCTGAGCCCTTTACAGGCTGCTTCCCGTTAACACACCCTCTGCCTCCTTCCTCGGATTCCTGCAGGCTCTGCTAATGAGGGCCTATCACCAGGCCCCTGGACTGAGTCACCTACCTCAGCAACAGGTCTCTCATCCTCCCCTCCCGGGCCCCTCCCAGACACACCAGTGGCTGGGGTCAGGGTGGTGGAGCTACGGTGAGACAGGAAGTAGCACGGTGACACACAACCCAGGCTGCCCCCAGACCAGTCTCAAGAGGAATCTGAAGCTCCCCATTGCCCTGGGGTGTTGGTCACAGCTGCCGTGCTCCTGCCTGCGGATGCTGCAATTACCTCAGCGCATGAAACCCGGCTTCCCACCTGACTGAGTCAGCTGAAAACAAAACACCGCCACCGCCACACTGGCACAAACAGCCAAGGCACTCATCAGTCCCACAGCCGCCGGCGGAGAAGGCACAGTCCTCCACTGGCCCAGAGACGGTGGTGCCCACAGCAGCTGGAGAGGATCAGCCGGGCACACCTGCCTCCTGCCTGCAGAAGGAGCTTGTGAGGATCTTCCTCTGCCACCCGCTGCCCTTGCCCCAGCTCAGTAAGTGCTCTGCTCCTGCCGGGGTTTTTTCCACTGCCCTCTCAGGTAACCAGGCCACTCCTGTTCCTGGGGGACCTCTTGCTGCCAGAACTCCCAGCTCTTTACTCTCCTGGACAAAAAGCACTCCTTCCTGGGCCTTGTGTCACCGTCCAAGATGCTAGCCAGAGGACCACACTGAGCAGAAACCTGGGCCTCTGCTTCTGGGGCACCCAGGCTGTCCCCGATTCTTGGCATTCACTGGCCAGCGGGGACCAGATGGTCACTAGCTGCTGTTGAGTGCCTGACTGCGGGCTTCTGAGGCGTCTGCTGGTTCCCCTGGGTCCAATGGAGACCTGGCGGAAAGGCTCCTTCCGCAATGCTTCCTTCCTCAAGCGACTGACCCTGGGGCGGCCACGGCGACTCCGGCGACAGGGCAGTGTGCTTAGCCAGGCTAGCACTGCCGGTGGTGACCATGAGGAGTACAGCAACCGAGAAGTCATCCGGGAACTTCAAGGGAGGCCGGATGGACGGCGCCTGCCCTTGTGGGGGGATGAGCAGCCCCGGGCCACCCTGTTGGCCCCACCTAAGCCTCCTCGCCTCTACCGAGAGAGTTCCAGCTGCCCCAACATCCTGGAGCCCCCTGCCGCCTATGCCGCTGCCTACTCAGCCACCCTGCCCTCGGCGCTCTCCCTGGCGGGCACCCTCCATCAGTCCTCAGAGGAGGACCTTTCAGACACTGCCCCCTTCCAGAGGACACCTGCTGCAGACCTCAGTGACCCTTTCTTCTCCTTCAAGGTGGACTTGGGGATTTCGCTTCTTGAGGAGGTTCTACAGATGCTGAGGGAGCAGTTCCCCAGTGAGCTCAGTTTCTGAGTGGGGTGAGCGGGGCAGAAATGGGGTGATGGAGGAGCTGGACCCAGCGACCCAGAGGAGGAGGGTATAATTGTGTAACAAGGACGAGGCAAGGGTTCTTTCTGCCTTCCAGATCCTGAACAGTTGTCCAAGGTACGCCAGAACGAAAAGACAGGCCAGTGGGAATGCTGGGGTCATTTTCTAGCAGGAGCCCTGAAGGAAGCTGCTGAAGCCAGGAAGGGGAGGCCACACCCGTAACCACAGAAGCCAGTAGGGTGACAAGATGGCACAGGGGCGAGTCAGGGTGAGGACACCAACTGGGCAGAATCAACACTGCCCCGCAGCAGCCTCGTCTGAAGCCACTGTCAGCAGAGAGGTTACAGGACACATCTGGGCAAAAGTGGTCCGACCCAGGCTGAAGGGGAATGTGGTGAGGCCTGAGAAGACGGGAGAACTAGGTTTGCCTTGGTCCAATTGCGTGGCCACTTGCTACATGTGGCTATTTAAGTACACTGAAATAAAAATGCAAATTCAGTTCCGGGCTACACAAGTCATGTTTCCTATGCTCACAGTTACACGTGGTTAATGGTACCACACTGGGAAGCACAAGCAAGAACACGGACATCCCTGGACTAGGTCCCCCAGACGGCGCTGGCTAGACCCTGGCCTGGAGCCATCCATGCATGGGATAGACGGAGGGGAAAAGCATCAGAGGCTGCAGGAACAAGAACAGGCCGGCAGAGCAGGAGACACGGAGGGAAACGCAGGAGAAAGAGCAAAGGAATCCTTAACAGGAAAGAGGCCGTGAGAGACAGCCTGTCACCACGGCTGCCTGGAGCAATCCCTAGGCCCAAGGGAGGGAATGTCAGCCAAAGGCACCAACACAGCTTGCAAAGGGGTACTTTCAGGATCCCCAGAACTATTTGTGATGGCGGCCTTTGGGAAATGCTGCAGAAACAATAGCAGATTCCTTTGCTAGGAGACACGAGCACTGGGTCAGGGTGGATACTAAACCATGAAGCAGCATATCTAGTCTCCAGAATCTTCTGCCAAGCCTGGGGAGCTCTGCCTTGCCCAAACCCCTGACAATGGGACTGTCAGCTCAGCCAAGCCCACTGGATCCAGGCCACCAGCTGTGCGACGATCTCACCCTGTGGCCTGGCCAGAAGACCTGAAGCCAGAGCTCAGCAGCTCTCAGCTAGGCCATGGGGGACAGAAGCTCTGATACACGCTGCCTCCACAACCCGCCCCTCTGGCCTCCTTCTTTCCTCCTCTTGCGTGGAGGTGCCGAGCTGTAATGTCCCTTTGTGCATACAGGAGATAATAAAGTTCTTTCCACCACAACCTGTGGAGTGTTACTTGGGGCTGCGAGGTGCTAGAACTTGAAGGGAGGGGAGTGCGGTTTCTTTTAAACCGGGTTCCTGAGTTGGGCTCGGCTTCATAGTCCTCCATAGTCCTCCTCTGCTCTGGGTGTGGGACACACTCACAGAAAGCTTCTGGTCCCTGAGGGACAGACACTCCTAACCTAGGGTGGGGCTATGGCTCACTCCACAGGCACCAGGAGTGTTTCAGAGACACGAAGGGCCAGACTGCTGGCTCTTGTCCCCAAACCCATCTGTCCCACCAAGGAGGGGTCAGGTGTGAGCAAGAGCCCTGCAACCCCAGCCTCTGCATCTAAGTCAGAAAACAGCAGGGCCTTGGGAGGCGGAGTGAACACCACCTTCCCGGAGCGCCGAGGACTGACAGCCAGCACCGGGCGAGCATCACGGAAGCTGCATACCTTGAGTGGGGCACCCAGGCTCGGCAAGCAGTACCCCAGCAAGGGGCCAGTGGTTTTTCTAGAGGGGATGTTGCCCTTTCACAGTCAGTTCCTGTCTGGGGAGCCAGAGACACACCTGGAAAACTGATGAGCTGGGGAAGGAAACGGCTGCCTCAGACAGCAGTCTCTCCCCTGCAGCACTAGGTCATCTAAGCTGCAAACGCTTCACACCACAGCCAAGCACCCTGCGGGCCCTCTGGGTGAGGGTGAGCCCCACCAGGAGATGGATGGAGAAGGAAAGCAGGGGCTAAGAGCACTGCGTTGAGCTGGGGGGTCTAGTTCAGTGACGCAGCACATATGTGAAGCATACGTGAAGCTCTAGGCTGGATCCACAGCACCCAAAATAATAGCAACAACAACAATGTATAGGGGGGCTGGGGATTTAGCTCAGCGGCAAAAGCGCCTGCCTGGCAAGCGCAAGGTCGTGAGTTCGGTTCCCGGTACCGGAGAAAAACAAAACAAAAAAACAAAAACAAAACAAAACAATGTATAGGGTAAGACCCCTTTGGCCCTCAGACAGGAAAACGGATCAGCGGGGAATCACAGCCTCCTTCTCAGGCTGGTGAACCTGCCGACCTGACTTGGGAGGAAAGGTGCCTGAGGGATATAAAGGGGAGGAGGTCCTTGAGCCTAAGCAGGCCTACCTGGGTGAGGTTGGGCTCCTTACCTTTGATAGTTCTGGGTGGCTGGGGCCCACCATGCCTAGGGGCTGTCCCTCCAACCATGAAATCTTCAGAGGGTTATTCACCAGACCCACTTCATTCCGGAAAGCCAGCTCCTGTCAAATGGAACATCCAGTCCTGGTGCCATGCATGCAAATCAGCTGTAAAGGGGCCCTCAGAACTACACAGAGAGGACAGAACCAGCAATCTAGTTTTCCCAGCAGAGCTAGGCAACTCCAACAACCTGAAAATGGTGGTGGGCCAAAGCTCTGATCCGTCTCATAGAAGGGTGCTGGGGATATGTTTTTTGATTTGGCCAAGCAAAACCCAGGGCTCAGAACCCAGAAAGGGCAGGGTAGAAGGCGGCCAGCATGAAATTAAAAGTCAGAGCGTTCTCCCAGCACTTGGAGGGGGTGCTTTTGAGTAAGCCTTCATTCTCAGCTGGCCCAGAGATCCCTGTGAGTGTGGGTCACCAACTCTGAGGGCTCACAAAATTGGGTCCCTGCCCTACAATGACTCCTGAGCCCCATGCAGGCAGCACTCACCGCAGCCTTGACAGTTGCAAACTCCACCACGGCAGTGCCTGCCTTTTTACTGGAAAGCACGAGGTTGAGAACCTCACCATACTGTGGAGATAAAGAGGTCCCAGTGGCTGAGCTGTTGGCAGGGACCAGCTTGTGCCAGAGACCAGCCAGGGCAGCCCTGAGGCCCACTGGTACATTCTCAGCCTGGGAATAACCTTATTACTAGGGACCCAGAGAAGCAAGATCAGAGGTAGGAAAGGAAAGTTTATTTCAGGAGTGCAGGGCTGCAAAGGAGATGAGCAAAGGCCCGTAACTCAGGCTGCCATGATGGCACAGCTGCCTCAGCTGAATGGAGGAAAGAGGGTGGGCTTTCACGCCAGACCCCACCTCCTGTCTCCCAGCACACTCAGGCAGTGAAGGAGACACCTAGCCGGTGACGGCACATGGCAACACAAGTGACAGCAGGACTGTGCCTGGGGAGAAGTTTCTAGGCTGTCCTGTGGGCTATGCGACAGTACAAAAGAAAAAGCAGATAGAGATGTTAGGGGAAGTGCAGGGCAGAGTCCTGAGGTCTGGCGGAGTTGTAGGCTGAGAAAATAGGACAGACAGGCAGAGAGCAGGCTGACCTTTTGTAAAAGCCGCAGGAGGACATCTTTGGAGTAGCCGCCTTGGGACTCATCCTCCTTCTTGCACTTCCATTTTAGCTGAAAGACACCGTCTCAGGCACTGACATTTGGTTCAGCACCATCAGACCCTACATCTGAGCTCACCGGTGTAGAAGAGGCCCTCCTGGTCTCCAAGCACCTGTAGTCTAGGGAGTACCACCAAAAGCATGTTTTCCTCATAAGAACCGAGAGGCAAGGCAGCCAGCTCCCTCTCAGCGATATCCCCACCCTGTAATACACTCTCGAGGGGCCTTTGCGGGACACTCTGCCCTACAATCGCCAGGGCTATAACCACCCTGGCCAGCTCTGAGAAGCAGCCTGGTATCCAGTGGCTGGAGGATGGCAAGCATGTGGTAGCGATGCCAACTTGCTCAGAGACCCAGAGTCCCACGAGAAGCCCATCTGCCCCTGCTGAGGGAGGTGCTGTGAGGTGGCTCATGGACTCTGCCCAGGCTCACCTTTAGCTTGGGAGTTCCTTTGCCTTCAGTATTTTCCACCTTTCCTGGAAATGTTGGCAAAAGAAGAAGGAAAATATGAGGCATCCACAGGAGAGGTGGTCCAGAGCCAGAGTGACCAGGTAAGGTCACCCCTGACCTAGGGTAATATCTGCCCCGCCATGAGGGGCTGGTGGGGAAGACAGATGCAGTCCTGCCCCAGGCCTGGGGTGGCCTGCCCACCCACCTCCTGAAGATCACCTGTTGCTCTCTCCAAATGAAGAGCTGGGAAAACTTTCTGGGGCAAGAGCTACAGACCACACAGTTCCACTGAAGCAATTACCCTGGGCCTTTCCCCTGCTCACCTGCTCCAAAAGAGAGCCGCCTCTGCTTGGGACCAAGACCAAACAAAACAGCCAGGAGGTCCCAGAGACAGTAAAAGCACACAGCCTCCATGAACTGGTAAGAAGATGGGACCCGCAGAGTGTGTCGGAGGAGGGATCATGGGGTATCTACAGGGTTCTTGCAGGTGGAAGCCTCCACAGCCGCTCAATAGAACAGTCACTGTGGCCACTCTGGGCAAGATGGAGCTGCCTGGGGGACAGGAGAGCACGGTGCCCTCACCTCTCAGCCTTTGCTCACGGTCCTGGCGTATCTGCTCCTGGATCAGCCTTTGCTGCTCCTCCAGCTGCCGGGAACCCTCTTCTCGTAGGCGTGCAATCTGCAGAGTGAGGGGCGGAGGGGTGACAATTCTGTGCCGATCCAATTCCAGGTTCGCTCACCTTGAAAAGGTCCCTGGGAGGCTCCACTTGCAAGCAAGTGCTCAGCAACCTGCAGGTGGGACAAATCACCTGCTCCCACAGAAAGGGGAGAGCAAGCCCTCCCACCGCACATCACCCTGCCCCATTCCTCCTCCTGTTGCTCTGCAGAGGGTGCTCAGGCCGGATGCTCACCTCCTGCTCCAGCGTCCAGGTGCTCCGGCTCTCCTCCTCCTCCTCACTCCCCTGGGCCTGTGCCTGCCGCTCCCGGGCCTCCAGGTCTAGGCACAAGGGTTATGTGACCCACTTGCTCGTTTGTGCAGTCTCTGCATGGCGTCAGCTCACCCCAGCTCTGGCTGCTTCCCCAAAGCCTCCAACAGGGCAACACCATACAGTAACTGCTGCCCCTTGCACCCTGCTATAAGCCTCCAAGTTACTTTCTTGAGAAAGGTCGGAGCACAGAAGAGAGATGGGCTCCAGCCAGGTGGCCGGGGTCTGGAAGAGTTAAAACAGCTCACACTGACCAAGCTGGTTCTTTCCACAAACACAGAGAGAGCAGGTGCGGGTGGGTGCTTATGTCAGCAGCCCAGGGCGGTGTGTCAGGGATGCCCGTGGGCGGAGTGCTGGCCTCTGCTCCTGTGGTTTGGTACCATGGCCTGAGCTGGGGCCTCGCCTTGGGTTGATTCACGTTGGACCACTGAGCTCAAGTTCTCACTGTCTGTTCCGCTGGCCCCCGGCATTGCCAAACCCTACTGTGGACTGGCTGTGGAGACTCCCCTAGAGGCGGCAGGGTGTGAAGCATCACCCCTGCTCTGCATCCCTGCCTGCCTCCCCAGGAAACCTGCCCTGTGCCAGGCCAGCTACTGTGACAAACAGTTCTCTCAGGCCTGGGACTCTCTGCTTTTCTTTCTGTGTACTTAGTCACCTACAACTTCTACTTTTGTTTTTGTTTTGTTTTTTTGCCATACTTCGGATTGAACCCAGGACCCTGCACATGCTAGGCAAGCGCTCTGCCACTCAGCAGTGCTCACAGCCCACCCTCCTTTTCTAGGTAGAGAAGTGGCTGCATTGGAACGGTGCAGGCACTTATCAAAGTATGTGCATACTGAACAGACAGGAAGGGGAAATTACGGAGTACAGAATGCCTGTACCGATCTTAGTGGGTGGACGCAAGTGTTTTAAAATTGATTTATAGTCATAGTGGCACCAGCTAATTGTTAAAAATCATTGATCCTTACACTTAAAATGGTAGATGTTATGGTATGCAAAGAACACCTCAAAATAAAGATGTTAAAAGAGAAAGCCTTTGTCAGGCACAGTGATAAATGCCTAGAACTCCAGCACTCAGGAGGCACGGGCAGGAGGATCACTGTGAGTGAAATCCTACTAAAAAAGAAAGAAAGAAACCAGGTATGGTGGTGCACGCCTGTAGTCCCAACACTCAGGAGGCTGAGGCAGGAGGACTGCCAGGAGTTTGAGGCCAGCCTGGGCTACATAAGCAAGTTCAAGGCCAGCCTGAACTACACGGTGAGACCTGGTCTCAAACAAACAGACAGAAAAAAGAAAAGAAAAGAAAAGAGAAGAAAAGAAAAAAAAAGTCTGAGCTGGTGATGCATACCTGTGAACCTAGCACTCTTGGAGGCTGAGGCAGGAGGACTGAGGGGCTGGGGGTATAGCTCAGTGTGAAGGCCCTTGGTTCAATCCCTAGTACCACAAAGAAGAAAACGGAAAAAGAAAAGGAAAAGGAAAAGGAAAAGCAAAGCAAAGAAAAGCAAAGAAAAGAAAGCTGGGCATGATGACACATATCTATAATCCCAGGACTCAGAAAGCTGAGGCAGGAGAATCACCACAAGTTCAAGGCCAGCCTGGGCTACATAGTTCAAGGTCAGACTAAACTACATAGTGAGACCCTGTCTCAGAGAAAGAGAGAGAGACAAATAGACAGGCAGACAGAGAAAAGCAAGCAAGCCTGGACCTCTCGGAATCCTGCAGAGAGAGGCTGTCAGAGTACTAACTCTGGGCTGGGACGAGGCTGGAACGAATGGTGGAGACCTGGCCTGGTACAGAGAACAAGAGCATCAATTCTACTCATATTTTAGAGCCTAAATTCCAGCTCCAGCATGTTTCTAAACTTTAACAGTGTATATAGTAAGTGCTATTATTCCTAACAGTGCTTCGCCCAGAGCCTCAACTAAGGGGCTTTGAATAGCTGGAAGTGATGTTTCAGGAAGGGAAGTGAGGGAGGGAAGCCAAAGGCCACTTGGAGCAATGAAGTCACCTACCAAGCTTCACTCTTTTCCTTTTCTCATCAAGTTTCTGGGTCCTCGCTGCTGCCTGCTTCTTGGCTTTCCTGACCTTGTCATATGCAGCCTGGCAGGACAAAGGAACACAGAGCAGTAGGTTGGCCAGAGAAAAAGACACAGCCCCAGCACTTTCCTGGCCCCTGACTTCCAGCCCGGAGCCATCGAGGCAGCAGCTTGGCACCTGGGTCTCCAAGGCTTGGACAGCAAGGACTGGGGCGGAGGATGGAGGCTGATGGCAGCAATGGTCTCTGTCCACAGGGGACGGTCACCTAAAGGAGGAGGCACTCACCCTGGCTGCAGCGTCGGTCAGCACTTCCAAGGCCTGAGAAAGCTGGTGGAAGAGTTCAGCTAAATCCCCCCCAAAAAAGAAAGGAGAAAAATAAAGCTAGATTTGATGATGGTGTGCTCCCTCAGAAAAGCATTCCAAAGCAGCCACAGTGGTAGAAAAGCTGGCACTGACAGATGCCAGACCTGCGAGGACCGTGAGAGCATCAGCAACTGACTGTGAGGCCCTGGGGGGACCCTGCCCAGAGCAGGCCCCGCGCACCTCCCTCCACAGCCTCACCCGCGGGGCTTAGAGCACAGACATGCATGTCAGGTGAGCAGGTCTTCTCATCCCCTCCCGAGGCTCACCTGCTCTGGGATTATCTGGATTTTTGTCTGGGTGGCAGGAGAGGGCCTTCTGCCTATACGCTTTCTTCACCTGGAAGAGTCAGAAGACAGTGTCATTCATTCCCACCCAGGGACGAACAGGGCGACCTTGCTAAGGTGACAAGGGAAACCCGACGTCCACCTGAAAGAAAGGCTGCTGCCCCTCTTCATGCCTGCCGTGCAGACTTGCAAGGGAGGAGGCAAGGGCCGTGGAGGGAGCCAGCCTCTGCAACCCAGCAGAGAAGCTGGGCCTACTTCCTGCAGATGCTCAGTCTCACCACTGCTGATGTCAAAGAGCTCCCAGCAGGGGCAGGAGCACAGTAGCCTGGTCTCTCTACAGCCCCGCAGGCAGCTACTCTTCACACACTTTTTTTAACCGAGGATTGAACTCGGGGCCTTTGTACATCTCTAGTCCTTTTATTTTCATTTTTTATTTTGACACACAGTCTTGTAAATTGCCCAGGCAGGAACTGAAGTTGCAATCCTTCTGCCGCAGCCTCCCAGAAAGCTGGGATTACAGAAGTGTGCCACCATACTCAGTTTTCTACTCACTCTTGGTGGGCGTGAAAACTGGAAAACTTTCTGGTGGAAAACTTTGCCATCAGATTTTAAAACATTCTCTCCTATGTGGTACATGCCTATAATCCCAGGTACTCAGGAGACTCAGGGAGGAGTATCACAAGTTCAAGCCCAACCTGGGCGATCTAGCAAGACCCTATCTCAAAATGAAATTTACAAGTATTGGGGATGTAGCTAGGTGGTTACAGCGCCTGCCCGACACGTGCAAGGCCCTGGGTTCGATCCCCAGCAGTACAGACAGACACACAAACACATGCACACATTTTCTTTTGATTCAGCCCTAGAAATCTGCACTGAAAATATGTACCAAAATAAAAACACAAGCATGCTCATTCCAACACTGCTTACACTAGGTGCTCACTGGCACCAGCTGGATCTCCACATCAACAGAGACCCACTAAAAACATGACACACAGGAATCTGTGGAATGGCTCAGGAAAATCTTTGTGATAATGTGAATTTTTTAAAAAAGCAAAACTCATAACTATTATATGATCATTTTTGGGTTTAAAATAAAAAAAAAATGAAACAATTACAGTTGAGCAGGGGCACAGTTTAATTTTTTTCTCAAGGCAATGCTAAGGCGTTTAATGGTACTCTCCTTTGGAGAGGATGAAGGTGGAGAGGGAGGAAGTATTTACTTCTTTTTTTATTTTTTTATTTTTTTTATTTTTTAATTTTTTTTCTCCGGAACCAGGAACCGAACTCACGACCTTGCGCTTGCCAGGCAGGCGCTTTTGCCGCTGAGCTAAATCCCCAGCCCCAGTATTTACTTCTTTTGTACCTTCCTGTGATTTTTCAGACCCTAAAGAGGATTTCTCTTATCATTTTTAAAAAATGCCAATAGGGTTTATCTGGGGAGGTTATGATCCACTTTTAGTTTTCAGCTTTGCATCTCTATATTGTTTGTCTTTTGTTTTTTTGTCTTTTTTTGTTTGTTTGTTTGTTTTTCTCCGGTACCGGGAACCGAACTCACGACCTTGCGTTTGCCAGGCAGTGTTTGTTTTGTCTTTTTGAGACAAGGTCTCGTTATGCAGTTCAGGCTGGCCTTGAGCTCACTTTGTAGCCCAGGCTGGTCTAGAACTCACAACGATCCTCCTGCCTCAGCCTCCAAGTGCTGGGATTACAGGCGTGCGCCACCACGCCCAGCAACTCTATATCGAAGAGGAAAAAAAACCCCTAATATATTTTCCATTAGTAAAAATAAACAAACGTAGTACCAAGATTCTCTTTCATGTGCGACCTACCTAGCTGGTGTAAATGAAGGCAGAGTAGAGATCCCAGAATCTGCCCCTGCCTCCTGAGGCCTCTGCCCCACACTTCTGCACATAGGTTGCCTGCTGCTCTGGGAGCAATAGCTAGGCGCACGGGCTTTCCAGGCTCCTTAGGTGGAAGCACGGCATAGTTCTACACCCAAGTTTGTAAAGGAAGCCCCTTCACAGGCAGGCACCCAGCATCTGCCAGGGACGGCCAGCGGGCGGGTGCTGCCACCTACTGGGCCAAGGCCGGCCCCACACCTTCCCATGCCGGGGCAACCTAAGCCCAGGTTGGCTGACCGAGCTCAAGGAGGCCCGAAGGGCACAGGACAAAAGCGTCATCCTGCCCTCTCATATCCCAGGTGCCCTCCTGTGCACATCTGGCCTGCCAGCTCACCACCCAGCTGTTTTTACTATTAACAACAATAATAAGGGAAGGAAAAGTGACAGCTTTCTAGACAGCTTATTTTGCAGTGTCATCTTTACTTACATCATTCGTCTTTTATCCCTCCTGCTCTCTCCTCTGGCCTCCAGCTTTTTTTTTTTTTAATCAAACAATACCGGGGGTTAAACTCAGGGCTTCACACTGAGCCACATCCCCAGTGTCTTTAAAATTTCTGAGACAAGTTCTCTTTGAGACAAGTCACTAAGTTGCCCAAGCTGAGCTCAAATTTGTGATTCTCTTGCCTGAGCCTCCTAGAGTGCTGGATTATAGGAGTATGCTGCCAGGACCAGCTTCATTTTTAATGATTGCCTGTGGTACTGAGGACTGAATTCCTCCTCCTCCTCCTCACTGAGTTACATCCCCACCCCATTTATTGATTGATTGATTGATTGATTGGATACAAGATCTCGATATGTAGTTCAGGTTGGCCTTGAACTCACTATGTAGCCCAGGCTGACCTTGAACTCATGGTGATCCTCCTGCCTCAGCTTCCAGAGTACTAGCACTATAGGAGTGTACCACCACAACTGGTTCCTTATTTTAAGACAGGGTCTTACCAAGTTGCCTGGGCTGTCCTCCAACTTGGAATCCTCCTGCTTCCGCCTTAAATCAAACTTTTATTAAACACTCCTTCTAGTTTAAGGTTTTTTACCTACTTTTTTTTAGTAAGTACAACAATACAAAAAATATAGAAAGTTTTTAAAAAGTAGATATTTCTTTTCCCATCTCCCCCACTCTTAAGTTTCACTGGATAGCAAGTGTCCTTCCAGCCCTCCCACTTCTCAGCCCAACACATGGAAGCGCCTCTGTACATTTCCAGGAGGGGGTCCTGGTCGCTCTATTCTCAGCTCTCTCAGAGCCCCTGTGGCCTGTCTCTGGGATGGATGAGGGAAGGGAGCCACTGGCTGGGTGGCCTTCTCCCTGGGTCTGTGCCCTTGACCTTCGGCACTGCCCTGGGAATGCACTTCCTAGGCACTAGGATCACAAGGCATGCCCTAAAGATACAGGGCATTTTGTGGAAAATTTTTTCTTTTGGATCACAGGGATTTTTTTCCCCCTTTCTCACAGGGCTCTTTTACAGTGGCTTGTGGGGAGGACTTTTTGTTTTCGTTTTTTTTTGTGTAAATCTGAAAGGGCCCGTGGAAAGAAGAGTGAGAAGAACCAGGAAGAAAGCAAGATGAAGCGGGTGGGGGGCTGGGCAGCAGCACCTCCTTCACTTCCCTATTATTTTTTAAAGAGTGCTTTACGAATTTTATCCTGACGGAATGATATTCAATATTGTTTTGTGTTTTATAATTCACTGTGGGTATTCTACATCAGAAAATTGGCTTTCCACTTACAGAAACAAAGTATATTCAAACTGAAAAAATTAATTATGTAACAACAGGGAATTAATCCAGAGGTACTGATTTGCTTCCTTATCAATTCTCCTTCCAGTATGCGTTCCTTTGACAAGTGTCTGTAATAGCCTCATGAGATGTTATTTGAGGCAACCAGCAGGGCTATACCCAGCTTAGCTTATTCCCTGTCGGGATGAAACCCTCCCCGCTCCAGCCTCCAGCCCCTCACTCCCAACATTTACACCAACACAACTATCTCAGTCCACTTGTATTCTGCACTCTCTTTCCCTTAAGGCATGGCCTACATTGCAATTTCCAAACCACCTTAAAAACAAAACAAAACAAAAAAAACCCAACTTGCCAATTGTATGTACTGGCTAGATGTAAGCAGGGAGAGGGGCGATATCCAGAAAGCCGGGCCAGCTGGTATTCATTCTCAGGGAGGGACATCTAAGGGTAGAAGTTCTCCAAAAGCCCTCAGCGCAGCCCTACAGCTACCCGACACCTGGGTCCATTGGTAAAGCATCTAGACTTGCAGGGGCTGAACTGGAGCCTGGGGATACAGAGAAAAGTCAGGAGTGCCCCCTGGTGCAGCAGAAGAAGGACACTGCTTGGCAAAGAAGATGCCAGGGAAAGAATTAGAACACAGCGTGTGAGATGCCGTAAGAGTGGTCTACAAGAATGGAAACAAGCTGGGCATGGTGGGGAGCGCCTGTCATCCCAGTCCTCAGGAGGATTACTGCAAGTTTGAGAACAGCCTGGGCTGTACAGAGACCCTGTCTCAAAAAACAAAAAAGAGGCCAGGCATGGTGGTGCATGCCTGTAATCCCAGCACTTGGGAGGCTGAAGCAGGAGGATTGTTGCAAGTTCAAGACCAGCCTGGGCTACAAAGTGAGCTCAAGGCCAGCCTGAACTGCATAGCGAGACCCTGTCTCAAAAAGACAAAAGAAAAAAGAATAGAAACACAGCGAAGGGAGAGCCTAATTTAACTCTGAACACTTCCAGAAGCAGTATCTGAGCTGGGTCTTGGGTCTTGAAAGGCATTAGTTTTCCAGGCAGACAGCCAGAGAGGGTATTCAAAACGGTGTGTAAAAGAACCTGGGCTTCTCTTCGAGCCCCAGACCAGGTTAGAGGAGAAACAGAAAGTTTTACTTTAATGAGGAAAAGGTATTGGGAACAGAAATGGTGAAAAAAAAAAAAAAAAGACAGACATGGTTGCAATCAAACATGAAATAAAAGTAATGTTCTTTGGATGGAAAGTTACACCAACCGGTAGACAGCCATGCCATGTTCACCTCCGCCAACTCCACACCCATGGAGTCCGTGCCCTGGCCACGTCCAACTACCAACGCCAAGCTCATCTGTATTTTGTTTCCCCTCAGCATGGAGCAGCAGAGGTGCCAACCAACTGCCCAACCTGACCTGCTCGTGG